ACAAAGGAAGTGATCCCTGGGCCTCTTCTTCCTCTGGGAGGTTTCTGGAAAGAGGAGGAGGGACTGGGGGACCCTGGAGAAGCATCAGCACCCAGGCACGTTGAATGGGGCTATAGTTTGCCTGACTCATGGGATGCTGAGCACGGGAGCCTGCTTAAGATTCTTTTTCTCTCCCTTTGCTCCTCTCCCTCTCTTAAAAAAAAAAAAAATAAGTAGCATGGTAAACTTGCAGCTGGGAAGGAACAAGCTCCTGCGGCTAGAAGAGTTCAGTCCTCCAGTTCAAAGGCTACAGGGAGAGCTGAGGGCTGAGACTTCTGTTCTCTTTTCCTCCCTTACATACCCCACTGCTTCCCCGATGAGTGGTCGGTGGGAGTTTTACAGGATAGAAGATGTGATTTCATTTTTGCTCCTCAGCACTCCACTTCTGGACTCGTGGGCTGCATCATGAAGACACCTGCCCCCCACCTCCCAAACCCCAGCTGCACGTGCTCTATTTCCCTTTCTTCGCCCCCCCCCCACCTTGTAACACTCCTGTGCTTTGACTCCTTCCCCATCCCTCTACCACACCGTGATGGAGAAACTGCAGAGTGAGCACCCTCAATCCTAGTGGGCATTGACCCTAGATCCCCTTGGATAATGTAAGTGTCCTACATTTAAAACTATGACATCTCTTTCCATTCCTCAACAATAAAAGATTTTCACATATGACCTAGAGTGATGTATTTATTTGGCTGGTGGGTGAGTTTTTCTCTTCTTTGACTCTTCAAGCTACGTAATATACACATACATGTATGCACACATACATATATCATATATAAATGGAAGCATCTTTATTTGCCACGCATATCAATTTTCCCAACAGTGCCTTCAGCAGTGCTTCATACAATTAGTATGGAAGATTTATTTAGTAATTAAAAAATAAATGAAGGTGCCTGGGTGGCTCAGTTGGTTGAGCGTCTGACTTCGGCTCAGGTCATGATCTCGCGGTTCATGAATTCCAGCCCTGCATCCGGCTCACTGCTGTCAGCACAGAGCCTGCTTTGGATCCTCTGCTCCCTTTCTCTCTCTGCCTCTCCCCTGCTCATGTTCTCTCTCTCTCTCTCAAAAATAAATAAACATTTAAGAAATAATAAATGAATGAATTTGGAAGATGGTTTCTGGTGGTCAAAGACTTTCACAGACTAGCTTCAGATAAAGGAAAAATATATTCTCAATGGCTTGTCTGTATTTCTAGGATGAGCCTAGGAGACATCAGTCCCTGCATCTGACTCTACTTAGAGAAGGAGAGGGAGGTCAAGGCTGTGCAAGGACCCAGCCACAGAGGAGGATGCATCTATTGAATTCTACCATTTTTCTGTCTCCAAATGTCGAGCATGGATCCTGTAATGGTGACCTATACACATTGTTTACAGTGGAGCCAGCGGTGGACAAGCAAACAACACTTGGTCTTGCCAGGATGGGGTGTGGATGGGGAAGTTACTACGGAGGCCAAGAAAGAAGGGAGCAGGTATCTTCAGTGTCAGCTGGCCATTTCAGTTATTATAAAGGGAAAACATTTGTCTCAGACTCCTCTACAATGCAACTGACACCAGCCCCTGTAGCACTGGTCTAGCAGTCCACAGAATATGTAAGCCCAAGGATCCCAAGGAGGTGTTCTGTACCCTAAGGGAACAGTCTGGGAGATCCTCAGGCTCCGTATTTTAGCCCAGTGCAGGGCCTGGCAGTACCCCCTGAACTACCCTGCTACAACATCAACACTCCATTCCCCCAAGGCAGTGTAGAGACAGGGCCACGGAGCCAGAGGTCGCTTCCTACAGTTCCTTCACCCCAGTGAAAGTTCTCTCTTCCCAGAACCTTAATGGGGCAACTTTGAACCCACAGCCAAACGGCGGGGATGGGGGAGGAGAGAAAGCTCAACTCAGCATCCCTTAGGTCAGGTTTATTGCTACAGGTCAAAGAATGTTCTTACCCCAGAGCCTCAAGCCTTTCTTCAGTGACTCATCATGTTGGCTTTTCAAAATGATCTATCTAGGTTTTAAAGTGGGGTAACTTTTGCAGAGTCTGGGGAATTTATTTAGGTCATGAAAGCTTCAAGAGTTGTTTCTGCTCAGACTTGGGAGATGGGCGTGTGTGCTGAGATGACACAGTGCTTTGCCAACTAGGAGCATAAATGCAGAAAGGTTGCTCTCTGGTGGGGCTGACAAAAATTGCAGTCCTTGGGATTCCAGGAAAAAGGAAGCCAAATTTTAAGTCAGATTCCTGTTTTTGTACTTGGAGAACGTGTGAAGGAATACTGGCCCTCCTCTTCCTGTTGTAAAGAGGTTGGTGCCTAAGGAGACCTGGCCAATAAGACCTTGACCGGATTTGTGGCTTCTCCACTTAGCTGTGTGTGTGTGTGTGTGTGTGTGTGTGTGTGTGTGTGTGTGACTGGGATTGCATGGTGATTTTTACTTTAAAAAGATTTCAGTCTTAAAGTTTCTGGACGAATTCCAACGTGTGTGGAGGTGTGGTTTCGCCACACTAACAAGCAGTGCTCTGACACTGTCTACCCAAAGACAATATCAGATTCCACAGGTTAAGAGCTCTGAGGCACTAAGACTGCCTCTTGCTTGGGATGCCCTCTCATGTCCAGGTTGTTACCTGTGTTCTGACCTACAGGCTCTGGTAATGAAATAAAAAAAAAATATATATATATATATATTTCTTATTATAAATTACAATATCACAACTATAAACAGTATAAACTTTAATCTACACCTTTAGGGTGGTTTCTTAGCTCGTGAAGTACATTTACCAGGGTCAACACTCCCCCAGAGATAGTTAAGGCATTTGGTTAGGAAGCTTGAAGAGGCCCCAGAATTTTGCAGCCTAACGTCTCAGAGTCATGCTGGAGGTGTGGAGTCTATCAGTTGTGTGAGGGTTCACTTTAGGGGCACACTCGGTCACCTCGTCCAACTGTGGGGGTTGGCCTGCCACTGGAACGTGTATCAGCTTCCAAGTGACCCTTTCGTGAGAGAGCTAGGTGGGATTGTCTGCCCCCCAAACTACAAGAGGGTCCTATGACCGTTTTTGTATCTCCTTGCTAATAAATATTATATGATTGGCGTCATTTGGTAGAACACTTTCTTTTGGTATAATCTAACACCAGTTAGTGAGGTTGTGGAACGGGGGACACCCAATCTCCCACATGCGTCAAGATAACTGATGGTTACTGAATAGCCAAACTGTCTTAGATCACTTGGCAACTTCCAGCGCATCCTCCTCTTCCCATTCACCCATGGAGGAATTACTGAACTCTACCGTGCGCCTGCTCTGGGGGGGTTGTGCCTGGCCGCTTTCCATCATCTGGCAGTGGACAGAATGTGCTGGGAGAGAGGCTGAAAGAGAAGAGTCCCAGAGCCTGAGGGGTTCCTATGTATTGAGGGGAGAGGATGGGATGCCCATGACCGCTAATGTCTTCGGTGGTAATGGTGGTGGAGGGGCGGTGGAAGGGAGGGCAGGGAGTTTTGGTTTGATGACAATTTTGGGGCAGGGGCATCTGAGGAGAGGATTTGGAGGGTAGATGCAGTGCTAAGGGAAACGAGTGGATAGAAGCAGCACAACTGAACTCTAGAAACAGTTGAAGATATAATGGAAGAAAAATAATTTTCCCTCAACCCTTCCAAGTTCTTGGCTGAGACCACCCTATAATAAAAGACTGATTAACAGGAGAAAAACAAACAGAAGTTGAGTAGCCTCAACAGTATACCTCCTGTATACATGGGAGATGTCCAGGAAAACAGAGTCACTCCCTAAAATGGCCTAAGCCGTCACCTTAAATAACATCTCTAGCTAAAGACCAAAGAATATACTGGGGGTAGAGAGCCAGTTATGGAGGGTTTTCAGGTCAAGCATGGTAAATAAGGGTATGGTTGTTAGGCAGATTTAAGTCTTGCCTTCTCCATTGATAAGAGTTTCTGGAGATTTAGTCATTTTCTCTTCCTCGTACAGAGAGGGAGACACCCTTACAAACGGAGATTTCCCTTATAAATGTAATTTCTATTCTGCTTTCAGAGCTTCTCCTGTGCCTGCCGTTTCTTAAAAATAAGCGATCTAAAATAATCCCTATGCCAAAAAGGCATATTTGGGGTGGCAAATTCTGCTCGCCTTCAGGGAGGACAGACTGCAGGAAACAGTCTTGGGCTCCCAAGGTGGAGTGGGATCCTGTAAATTCCGTCCTTTGGCCCCTAGGTGGGAGGAGGGGCATCCTCGAATTTTCAGAAGAGCGTGTACCAGGGGCCCAGCCCTCAAGTTCATTCAGTCAAGCAGGCTTTATTAAGCACGAATCATAAGGACCAGGAAGTATGTGGTAAGCACTGCATTGAGTAGTTCTCGAGAAAGAAAGATCCCTGACTTCAGGAAGCTCTCAGCCTAGCTAGCTCACAGCCTAATGGAGACTATAAATTAATCAAATAATCTTACTT